TAGATACCTGATACCCTGAGCCACCTAATGGAGGCTGTGGCCACACTGTTGGATTTCGCTAATTTTATTGGTAAGAAATGGTGTCTCTGTGTAATTTAAATTTGTCTCGCTCTTTTTATGGTAGAAGGACTGTGTCTTTTTTTATGAGCTCTGGTCACTTCTCTCGCCCACTTTTCTGTAGAGCTGTTGGTCTTTTTCAGGTATATTTAGAAACTATATATTACAGATAGTAACCTTCGACTGTAGTATAAGCTGCAAATATTTCTCCCGTTTGTCATTTTTACTTATTTGCTTTCTGCCATACCAAAGTATATTTTTAAAGTAATTATTATTTTCATGTAGTCAAATTTATTCATCTTTTCTCTTAGTGCTCTGGCTTTGGAGTCATACTGGGAAAGTTTCCTCAAGTCCCAGGTTGTAGAGAAATTCAATCATGTTTTCCTTTCATATTTATATGTTTTTTTTTTTAATGAAAACTTCATTTCCTTTTCGCATGTATCAATGGGGCACTTTTGATAGCCACTATCCTGTGTGATTAGCTACTTTTACTGTGTGAATTTAAGACACAGAAAAGAGCCTTGTGCCTGCCCCTCCAGTTTGCCTTGCATCTTAGCATTTAAAGAGATTAGTGCATTTATTTCATGTAGGAGTTGAAATCTGGGGAGAAGAAACTTTTCCAAGAACTCACAGTTCTATCCTAGGGACTTTAGCTCTGCCTGGCCTGGGAAGAGAAGGTTTATGAGCATCTGCTATGTGTAGGGCTCTTAGCTGGACATGTCACCTTTATTTACTCCCTTAGCTGAAGGTCCGGCTATTATCCCCACTTTATAGGTGTGGAGACTGAAGAGCAGAGGAGTAAGTTACGTGCCCAAAGTCACACGGCCAGTAATAGGCCATTAGGCCTGGGTATGCAGGGTGTCTGCCCAAGAGCTTGGGGGCTCCCAGTTGCCATCTCACCTCTGTTCATCCTGGGTCAGGAGAAGCCCCCTGGCAGGCTCTGGGCTCTCCTGACAACCAGACATTGAGCACAGACCCCCTGCTCTGCTTCCCTTCCCCACTGTGGTTTTGGAGCAGCTTTCCTTTGTCTCCATGTGCCCAGGCCACAGCAGGGGACCTGTGAATCTGTGAATGAATGTCATCTCCCTAGGGGGCTCTGGTGGAGCCAGTGGCAGAGGCTTGGTATGTTGCCTCAGCCCCAAGTACCAGGATATTGCTGGGAGCCAGAAACCCCTAGGTTGTTGCATTTTTTAAAGCTGTCGACCTTTTGCTCATTCATCCATTTGTTTATCCATTCATTTACTTATCTAGCTGTTAATTCCACACACCTTACTGATGCCTGCAGTGGGTAGACCCAGTGCTGGCCAGGGGTGACCTAGAAATGCCACTGGCGGAGTGTCTGTCCCAGGACCTCACAGTCCTATGGTGCAGGCAGGTGGCCCAGGTGGGCTGCTGAGGGAGCACAGGGTCCCAGGGGAGCCAGAGCAGCATCCCCCTCCTCCTTTCCACCCAGTCTGGGTGCAGAGGACTGGCAGGGTGGGATAGGGAGATCTGGCACCACCCCCAGGTCTTCCTCTTTCTGAGGACCAGCAGTACTTAGAGGCTCAGATGTTGTCCAGTCTAGGCCTTTCATGGTGATGACTCAAAAACTTTGGCCCAGAGTGGGAAGGGACCCTCCCCTGGGTACACAGTCAGTTGGCAGCTGGGCCAGGCGTGGAGCCTAGCCTGCAGCCCGACCCTGCACCCCCTGGAGCCTCGCCTGCATCCTGGAGGAGCAGGAGCCCGAGGGGAGGAAAGCTATGCTTTCGGACGAGCCAGCAGCCTCCCACAGTGACTGAGGTGTGCTGGCAGGCCAAGCGGCGGGCAGATTTTAGGGACATTGGTGGTTCTCATCACCCTGAATGTGTCACGATTGATCTATTTTCCCCAAGACTAAGTCCTGCTTATCCAATAGGGCCCACCACTGCCGAGCGAGCCTGAGCAAGGCTCCCTTTTGGGTCCAGCCAGTCAGGCCCGAGCGGCACCATCCTGCGCCCTGGGATGGGATGCGCCAGCTGTTGGTGTAATTAAGGTTGCCATAAAACCCACCAGCTAGACGCACAAATGGCTCCTCTGCTCTTTCCCGGGGCACGAGCAGTTGTGCAGGCAAGTAAATCATGTTCGGCGGCGCTCCCTTCAAAGGCCAGCCTTCCACTTAGAGCCGCGCTATTGGCAGGGATCGCCCATAACACGGCTTGTTTCCCGGCCATTCACTTTTATGGCACCCTAATGAATTGGGCCATTTCCATCCATTCTCAGAAAATGTACAGAACAACGGTTTTCGTTCTCCTCGGAAAGTTTGTCTTGGGAGGCAGGTGGTGTGTTGACAGGGGTCCGCGGGGCGTTCTGCCGTGGACAGGCTGGCGGGCCCTGGGCACGTTGCTTCTCTCTGGAGAAGCTACTCTGGGGCCGTTGTCCCAAGGTAATTTTTGTGAGCCCCCCCAGTCCGTGACTGGTACTTAGTGGGCACTCAGCATGGGGAAGGTAGGCCCTCATCTCCCTCCACCCTTTCCTGGGGCAGCGCCTGCAGGGACGGAGGTGTGCGGGGGCTGGTGGTGCCGGGGCTGGTGGTGCCAGGGCTGGTGGTGCCAGGGCTGGTGGTGCCGGGGCTGGTGGTGCCGGGGCTGGTGGGGCTGCGGCGTTAGAGCCGCAGGGGAGCTCGCGGTCCCGCCGGGCAGCTGTGCACTGCCTGCCTAGAGCCACTGGGTGTGGGCTCCGGAGGCTGCTCTGTGTCCCTCTCCCCCAACCAGGGAAGAGACGCGCCTCCCTGCATGGGCCACGTGCGGGGACCTGTGTTGGGCCAGACCACTCGTCTCTTGGCACTTGGGCCCCGGCCATCTCTGGGCTCCCTGCTCCTCGTCTGAACTGTGGTGATGGAGAGGGCTTCGGGAGAAGAGGAGAGGGGGGCATCCGAGCCTGATGCGGCCTGGGTGCATGGAGGCCCCAGGGGGGGGGTTCCTGGGGGGTGTTTTAAGTGAGGCGAGGCTGGAACGGCTCTGGGGATGGGAGGAGCAGGTGGATCTGGAGCCCGTAAAGAGATTGTTCCAGGGCCATGATTTTGGGGCATTGGTGCCTCCCCTCTGCTCCCCACCGACATAGATTCCAAATTCCGCCTTGGGATGGTGCTGTTCTTGGTGGGGGCATCGGGAGGGGTCCCAGTACCAGGACTAACACGTAGCTCCATTTAACAAACTCATGGAGGGCAGTGCTTTAAATTGCAACACTGAAGTAACGGGCCGGGGCCCAGCAGCTGCAGTGGAAGCGCAGCAAGGGCTCAGGCCTGCCTGCTGGGCCTGGCCAGGCCCAAGTTGGAATGTTGTGCAAACTCATCAGAGCAGATGCTGGGGACGGCGATGATGTGTCACTTCTCCAGATCCTACTAGCCTGCAGCCCCAGCTCCAGAGCCAGCAGGAGCAGGAGCCCTCCACTCCTGGCAGGGAGCGGAGCTTCCCTCCAGCCCACCCTGTGAGACTTGGGGCTGTGCCTGGTTAGGGCCACCCTGGAAGGGCAGAGCAGGCAGAGGGAGTCCTGGTGCCTGCAGGAAGGCAGCCGGCCAGGGAGGGGCAGTCTGGCTCCCTGCCCTGCATTCAGAGGCCTCCAGGACTGGCCTCTTTTTTCTGCCCCTGGACTGTTCTTTATGTTTCAGGGGTTCTACCCTGAAATCCCCCTAGCTGAGGGCTGCTTCTGAAGTGCTCAGAGAAGGAAGTCATTTGTTGCCCACCCTCCACTAGAAATTTATGGAGGCAAGAATTGGCCTGCAGACTGAGTTGTGGGGCCTAGGGAAGCCCCTGGGGTGGGGAGAGGATCAGCCATGCCCTGGCTTTGCGATCTTGAGCAAATCCCCTGAGCCTCAATGTACCCCATCTGGAGAATGGGTCTTCCCCTGGTCTAAACTGAATTTATAGAGTGTTGCATTTAATGTGACTTTGACATATCATTTGAAAGAGGATGATGGGAAACGTCAGCAAAATTGGAAAGTTGTGAACTTTTTTTTTTTTTTTTAATTTATCAAGATGGCTCGTTTTGAAACTGGTGGGGCCAAGGGCCTGGAGAACAGTGTTTATGCTGTAGCCACATGGTGGCGCCCCGGGAGCTGGTAACGGGCTGGCCAGGCCCAGCAGGCCGGCCTGAGACCTTGCTGTGCTTCTGCCCACGGCTGGTGGGCGCCTGGCCCATTATCTCAGTGTTGCAAGTTAACGTCGTGCCTTCCGTGAGTTTGCTAAGTGGAGCTGCTTGTTAGTCCTGGTAGTGGGACCCCCTCCCAACCTCCCTGCAAAAATTTTAGAGCAGAAGATGAATGTGATAAAAATGCTCTAAAGAAAGCAAAACAACTGCTTGATACTTAATAACGTCAGTTTATGAGACAGGAGGCTATGAAATACTGGTGATGATGCTAAGAAAATAAAAAGTGTCTTTAAAGCTAAAATATGTTCTGTGATTCTGGCTTTATGGTCTGTCTCCAAGAACACTTGCTCCCTGCATTACTGTGACTCCTGCAGGGACAGTAGTCTGGAACTTTGTGAGCTGTGAATTATGTGACATCTTCAGAAGCAAGACCCGCTCACAAAATATGACCCTGGTGTTGATGGCTGTCATCATGCCGTTTAGGTGCCCTTGGGCAAGGCGTAGGCTCTTCCCGTAGACTTGCCCTGGATACCGCGTGCTCTCCAGGGGCCCTTCTGACTGGGGAAAGAGGATGGGGGGAGGCCACCAGGCAAGGCTTGTCTGGGTGGTTTCGCAGAGTAGCTGCAGGGGGTGACGGACGTTGTCCTGGCGGAGAAGCAGGGGCTGGGCGAGAGGGCGCTGTGACTCTGCGTGGGCCTGCGGCTGCCCAGCCTGGTGTGTGTGGCCCGGCGTGGCCGTCACCAAACCCGCCCACCGCCTAGGCGCGCGGCGGCCCTCCCCGGGCAGGCACCTGTCCTGTGTGCCAGGCCTGCCAGCGTGACTGGTGCCTGCCCTTCCAGGTGGTGAGACGCTACAAGGCGACCATCCAGCAGACCTTGGACATCCTGTTCCTCGGCGAAGGCTGTGAGTTCCTGAGCAGCACGGACGCTTCCACCCGCGACTCCGCCGACCGCACCATCATCGCCTGGGATTTCCGGACCTCTGCCAGGATCTCTAACCAGATTTACCATGTGAGAGAGCCTCCGTGGCATTACTCTCAGTTTCAGCCGCAGGACATACCCGTGTGGCTCTGGTCTGTCTGGGGTCCCAGGCCCCTTCCCGTGGGAGGGGGTGCGGCTGTCTGAAATCTCCAGGATGGCGGTAGGCAAGGCTTGTGCCTGCGCAGAGAGCTTGCTGCAGGCTTCCAGACGCAGCTCTCCTTCTGTTCCTCCTGTCCCCGCACGGCACCGCAGAGTGTAAGGGCGTGGGGGCAGCCCTGTCCAGGTCAATGGGGAAGATGGCTGTGCAGCCTGAGAACCCCCTACCCCGCCCTTCCCGCCACCGCCACCCCAGCCAGCCGAGCAGAGGGGATTTCTGACCTCAGTGGCTTGGCAGGTGGTATGACCCAGGGGTTTAGAGCAGGGGCCCCAACAGTAGAGCACCTGCCTTAGAGTCCTGGATTCACCATTACAAGGTTGGGGCCCCTGAGCCCGTTATTTGGCCTCTTTGACTCTTCCCTCATGAGAAAATTGAGGATAATAGTATTATTCACTTCAGAGTAGTTTAAGGGCCGGGCATGGTGGCTCACGCCTGTAATCCTAGCACTCTGGGAGGCCGAGGCGGGTGGATTATTCTAGATCAGGAGTTTGAGACCAGCCTGAGCAAGAGCAAGACCCCATCTCTACTAAAAATAGAAACAAATTAATTGGCCAACTAAAAATATATGGAAAAAATTAGCCGGGCATGGTGGCGCATGCCTGTAGTCCCAGCTACTCGGGAGGCTGAGGCAGGAGGATGGCTTGAGCCCAGGAGTTTGAGGTTGCTGTGAGCTAGGCTGACGCCACAGCCAGCACTCTAGCTTTCTCAAGAAAAAGAGTGCTTTTCTTGAGCTTTCTCAAGAAAAAAAGAAAAAGTAGTTTAAGAATCGGGGGGAGAGAATGCTTACGAAGGCTGTAGCATAGTGCCAGGCACAGGGGCACCCCGTTACGCTTTCACTGTTGTTACCACCACCTCCACGGCTGTCAACTGTCGTCATCATCCCCACCACTTCACCGTCTTTATCACCAACATCGTGACCGCCACTGTCACCACCACCAGGTGACCATCTCTATCTCCATCAGCGTCATCACAGTCATCTTCTGAGATTTCATCTAAGCCATGGCGAATCTCTTGGGTGCTCCAACCTGAATTTAAACATACATATCATGGCCAGGTGTGGTGGCTCACACCTGTGATCCTAGCACTCTGGGAGGCTGAGGCGGGCGGATTGCTCGAGGTCAGGAGTTTGAAACCAGCCTGAGCAAGAGTGAGACCCCGTCTCTACTAAAAATAGAAATTAAGTGGCCAACTAAAAATATATAGAAAAAATTAACCAGGCATGGTGGCACATGCCTGTAGTCCCAGCTACTCGGGAGGAGGCTGAGGCAGGAGGACCGCTTGAGCCCAGGAATTTGAGGTTGCTGTGAGCTAGGCTGACACCACGGCACTCACTCTAGCCTGGGCAACAAAGTGAGACTCTGTCTCAAAAAAAAAAAAAAAAAAATCATGTGTGCATGATATGTATGTGTGAGTACATGAAGTATATGTCATGTGTATACCTTCTTTTTCTCTCTGTCTTCTCCTTGTTCTCAGAAGGTTCTACGTGACCCTGAGCAACCCCCCTCTATACCTGCATGCCCGGTTTCCTAGTGCACTCCACTGGGAAGGACAGGCCCTCGGTGGGGGCTGGAGGGGTCCTTCTGGCCACTGAGGGTGTCCTGCCTCCAAGCGTCCCAGCAGAGACCAGGATCAGTGTGGCAGATGAGGGTGCCTTGTGCCTGAGCTATCGGCCCCTCTCTGATGACGTCTCCACGCTCTGTGCGGAGTGAGCAGGGGCTCAGCCCAGTAACATCGCGGCAGGGAGCTGGTCATCTGGCCCCCAGGGCCTCCGGGCCTCTGCTGGGCACGTCGGCCTGCAGCTGCCATTCTGTCTGCTCCCCACTTTGCCCTCTGATTTGGGGCTTGTTTCGACAGGGTGGCTTAGGGACAGTACTTAGAGCAATGTCCGGCCAGGTCGAGAGGGAATTTTAAGGGTGTTTTCTGTGTGGCTGTGCCCGTCCTGCGGGGAGGTCCCCACCCCCTCGTGTCGACGTGTGGTCACGCATTTATATCCTCGTCTGGCCATCCACCTCCCCCCTTGCGGTGCATTTCGCTGTGCGGGGCCCTGGGCTGGGCTGGGGCTGTCCCCGAGGGGCTCACTGCGCAGGTGGGAGATAGCACATGGATTTGTTCTCTATCCTGTGTAACGAATTCTCACAAATGTGCTGGCTTAAAACCACACACACTTACCCTCTCACAGCTCTGGAGGCCACGGTCCTTACTCGATGGTACGTGTTGTTGGGTTGAGATTACGGTGCCAGCAGGGCGTGCTCCCCCTTCCCACCTGACTGCCGGCTCTCCTGGGCTTGTGGCTGCGTCCCTCCAGTTTTCAAGGGAGCGTCTTCACATCCCCTCCACCGTGTGTGTCAGACCCGCCCCGGCCTCCATCTAGGGTGAATGCGGTTGCATTTGGGCAGTAGTATAGGATAATCTTCTTATCTCAAGACACCCTTCCATATGTCTACAAAGACCCTTTTTTTGACCACATGAGATGACATTCACAGGCTCAAGAATTGGGATGTCGGCCGGGCGTGGTGGCTTACGCCTGTAATCCTAGCACTCTGGGAGGCCGAGGCGGGCGGATCGTTTGAGCTCAGGAGTTCAAGACCAGCCTGAGCAAGAGCCGTCTCTACTAAAAATAGAAAGAAATTAATTGGCCAACTAAAAATATATAGAAAAAATTAGCCGGGCATGGTGGCGCATGCCTGTAGTCCCAGCTACTCGGGAGGCTGAGGCAGGAGGATGGCTTGAGCCCAGGAGTTTGAGGTTGCTGTGAGCTAGGCTGACGCCACGGCACTCACTCTAGCCTGGGCAACAGCGCAAGACTGTCTCCAAAAAAAAAAATAATAATTGGGACATGGATGTTTTGGGGGGCCCTTTCCCCGCCTCCCACAAGGGCTGCAAAGGGGAAGGAAGGAGGGTCCCTGCAGCCTCTGGCAAGGAACACAGCCAGCCGGCACCTTAGTTTGAGCCCAGGGAAGCCTGTTTCAGACTTCTGACCTTAATAAATGTGTGTTATTTCAAGCCACTAAGTTTGTGGGAATTTGTTGAAACAGCACCAGGAGATTTATACAGAGCCCCCAGACCAAAGCCTGGCAGGGCACACGGCCTCGCGGGAAGAGGGCAGGGTGGGGTGTTTGCTGGAGGCGGAAGGGTGGGAGCCTTCCTCGACCCCCCGTGCCCTGCTGTGACCCCCGTGCCCTGCTGTGAGCCCCCTGTGCCCTGCTGTGACCCCCCTGTGCCCTGCTGTGAGCCCCCTGTGCCCTGCTGTGAGCCCCTGTGCCCTGCTGTGAGCCCCTGTGCCCTGCTGTGACCCCCCTGTGCCCTGCTGTGACCCCCCTGTGCCCTGCTGTTTCTCAGGAGAGATACACCTGCCCCAGCCTCGCCCTGCACCCGAAGGAGCCCGTGTTCCTGGCGCAGTCCAACGGCAACTACGTGGCCCTCTTCTCCGCCGTGTGGCCCTACCGGATGAGCAGAAGGCGGCGCTACGCAGGGCACAAGGTACCCCCAGCCTTGCCCCCGTCCGATGCTGAGCACTGGCCCCAGAGTCTCCCACCAGACAGCGCCAGGAATGGCTGCGGGACCCCAGGGTGTGCGAGCCTCTGTCTGGGTAGATTCTGCTTTCAGTTTCCTGGGTGACTGCATGCCATGTGGCCTGGTGTCTCCTCAGGACCCTGGGCCACATCTGGTCCTGGCTCCCAATTACCGGGCTGGAGAGCATTGGCGGGCTCCTGCAGACAGGGCAGGGTGGGGTGGGCGTACGGGAGCAGGACCGGGCAGGCATGGGGCCCTTTCTACTTCCTCCCCCTCCTCCCCAAGGCCTGCCTTGCCGGGGTGCGGGGCTGGTGGCTGTCAGCGAGGCTGGAGCCGTTTCAGCAGGATTCCCCTGAACTGGCCTCTTGAAGCAGGACCCCTGCCAGGCCCTACAGCCTCAGGGACACTGGGCGTGAAACCCCGTTCTGCTCTTTGCCAGCCCGGGGCCTCAGCCCGCTCCTCTGTGGAGTGGGCATACGCCCCTGTCTGACTCTCGGCCGCTCGCCCCCTTGCCTTCGCAGGTGGAAGGCTACTCCGTGGGCTGCGAGTGCTCCCCGGGCGGGGAGCTGCTGGTGACGGGCAGCGCCGACGGCCGGGTCCTGATCTACACCTTCCGCACGGCCAGCCGGGCGTGCACGCTGCAGGGGCACGCGGAGGCCTGCCTCGGCACCACCTTCCACCCCGTGCTGCCCTCCGTCCTGGCCACCAGCTCCTGGGGAGGGGAGGTGAAGATCTGGCACTGAGCGCCCGTCGCTGCCGACGTCGCCGCCGCCGAGCCTTCCTGACGCGGCCCGGGCCCCTTCTTCCCTGCGGGAGGGCGCGTGAGCACTGCGTGCGGCTTTGGGCCAGACCTGGGCAGAGGCCGTCTCCACTGACCTCTGAGCCTCAGTTTCCTCCTCTGTAAAACGAGGACAAAAATCTGTTTGTTACAGGCTTGTGAGGACTACAGCAGTGGAAGCCCCTGGCAGGGGGCCGGTGTTGCCCAATAAACGTGTTTCTCGGCTTCTTGAGTGTTTCAGCGGCTTCCTCGCACCTTCCGGCTCCCAGGTCCGCTGGGGCTCTGGAGGCAGACTGGTGGGAGCTTGAGGGCACAGCCCTGCCCTGCCGGTCCCAACAGGGGAGTCCCTCGGGCAGGAGGGTTCTAGGTCTTAGGTCTGCCCTGGGGGACTCTGCTGGAGCTCAGTGGGCCCCGCCCCTCACCCCCTCCCCGCAGGTGTGGCCATTGGGTCCCTGGTCTGCCGGAGCCCTGGGCGCTCCGGGCTGGCTGTAGCCGGTGAGCTTGCTGCCCACGCGAGCGGCTGTGTGGGGAAGGGGGCCTGGGGGCGAGGGGCCCTGGGGCTGGTGGAGGCACGGCTCCCAGGGGCCTGTGCAGGCCCACAGTCACTGAGGGCTGCTCCACGAGCCCAAGGGTCTGCCGACAGGTGAGGGTGGGGAGCACAGGTACCTCGGAAGGCTTCCTGGAGGAGACAGACCTCACCTGGTGAGGAGGACATCCCTGGCGGTGTCCGTGGGGCGGTGCAGAGGATGTGAGGAGGGGCCCCGGGACCAGGCAGAGGGGTCACAGGAGGAGGGCGCCCCAGCTTTGCCTCTCCCAGGACCCGAGTCCAGTCCCAATGCCACTGTCACTGAGGTGGAGACAGTGTGGGAGGTGGGCCTGGGCCTGTCCCCTCCCAGGCCCAGGTCCTCGTCTGTGCGGCGGGTGGTTGGAAGAGCCGGCTGGGGGCTTGCCACGTGGCCGAGGGGAGGTGGGGTCTGTGTGGTGTTGGGCACAGTAGGTGCACCAGTCCTGGGGGAACTGGAGCTGGCCCAGGGCTGCTGTGTAAGGACATTTATTTCAGTGTGTCCAAGGGGTCCTTGGGATCTCTTCAGGGTCCACAGGTTCCAGGCAGAGGGAAGAGCAGTGCAAAGGCCCTGCGGTAGGACTTCTCCTCTAGGCCAAATCCTCCTACCCACAGTCAGTGCGGGGGCTGACACCCAGTGATGCCACGTGGGTGCAGCTCCTACAGTGTGTGAACCTGGTCTGGGGACGAGTGCATGGCCTCAGTGTCACCACACCTCAGGGCAGGCCGAGCGAGCTGCCTAGGCCCAGGTTGGGCTGGGCCCAGCAGCAGCACCTTCTACGTATTTTTAATTTTAGTCTCAAGAACGGCTGATTTGGTGAAAATGCTTGCACCCCATGCCCAGCGAGCCTGTTCGGTGGCAACAGCAGCCCCGTGAGGTGTGTGCTGCCCAATGGCCAGGGAGCCGAGCCTGCGCTGTTCGGAGCCTGGTGAGGGTGGTGGGCCGGCCTCCCTCAAGGCTCATGTGGCCTCCGGCCTTTGCCCTTTCTTCCCCTCCTGTGAGAGGGGTGGGTTCCTGCTCCCTGCGAGGTCCCTGCACACAGCAGCTGTCCCATGAATGACTGTGAGCGTGGCCCCCACACAGGACACGGGCTTTAGGATCCGCCAGACTTGGACTCCAACCCTGCCTGTCTTTCATTACCATGTGACTTCAGGCAAGCTGCTTAGCTGCCTAGTGCCTCGGTTTCTCCTTCTGTAGAGCCCTCCCTCCATCTGTGGGTCTGGGGAGCTCCTGTGGGCCTGTGTGTGGCGTGTGCTCAGAAACGCAGCGGGAGTGTGGCCCCGTGTCAGCCTGGCCCCGAGCTGCAGGAGCTGGGCCAGTCCTGTCCGGAGGGCAGGTGCGCTGCACCCCCAGACCCCGGGCGGGGGCACTCTCCTGCCACTGCTGTCCCTGTGCTCTCCAGGCACGGCCTTGGCTAGGTTTGTCTCATGGCCGAAGCCACCTGCTGGGGTCTCCTCCATTCGTTTCCATTTGACAAGTCTGGGGGAAGAGCCTTGGCGTCTGGCACATGCCTGCTCCAGCCAAGGCTCCTTGGCCAGGTGTGGGGGAGCTGATGTGTCGCTCCCCTGGAAGAGTGGAGGGGAGAGTGATACAGGCCCCAAAGATCCCAGGACCCCCTGCAAGCGTTTTCGTGAGGGTGTGGCTCCCAGGTCCAGGCCGGGCAGGCCCTCAGCCCGTGTCGAGTGAATGAGTGACGTACGGATCAACCTGCACAAGGCCTCCCCAGGGGATGCCTCGTCTGCCCCTCAGATCCTGGAGTGCGGGTGCTCTGCTTCCTGGCCCGGCTTGAAGCCCGGGGGTCCCACCTTCCCGACAGAATCCATTGCATTGTTTGCGGATTGCTGCTCCTGCTGTGATTTGCTAGTATTGCCACTGATTTAACAGGAGCATCAGTCACAGGCTACACTCACTCAGCGTGAGTGCCAGGCATGGCCGTCGGACGACCACCTGGACTGTCTGGCTACCCCACGGGATTTGGAGGCAGGAGACCTGCTGAGATCCCAGGGCCGTCTCCCGCTTGCATGGGGCCTTTCTAGGTGCTTTGCTTCTTTGAGCCTCAGTTTTCTCATCTGCAAAGTGGCTCTGCGGGGGTGAGCAGGAGAGATGATGCGGAGGAAAGGACTTTGGAGATTGTTACCCTGTCAGCTTCACTTGGGACAAACAATATCCAAATCTCTGCCCCTGAAGTCTATTTCTTTTCCATGTGGTGGCCTTGAACCAACTCAGAGCTCTGACCTTTCTGGGGCGGGGGGACATCTGGGGCTCCCCAGGAGACCCACTGTGGCTGTTTCTTAGCGCTGCCTCTCTGTGGATTTGATTTCTCATTCCAGGCCCCTGTGGGTGCCAGCTGGCTGGGAGCCCCTCCCTGTGCAGGTCACTTTATTGGAAGAATGGCAGGTGTACTCCAAGCTTTTATCTGTTTTTTCCACATGCTTTCCTCCAAAGAGCATTCTTAAAGACTGACTTTGATCCTCAGCAAAGTGTCAGGGAGTTCACCATTTGCAGTTTTAAAATAAGAAAGTTAAATTTAGAAAATGTGGAGCAGGAATGAAAAAGAAGCGTGGACTCCCCTCCACCCACCTTCCCGGGCTGAGTGCTCGCCTCTGTCCTCACCTGTGAAATCTGAAATACCAGATCTGAAGCCATCATGGGAGAAGAATGGCTTCATCTGGAGTTGCCTTGTGGGCCGACGGCTCTGTCTCGTGTGCCTGGTGTGGCCGGGACCTTCTCCAGTAGAGCTGATGCTTGTAGCCCCACCGGTGGCCCCCGTCCAGTTGAGGAAACTGCTGCGCTGAGGGCAGAGGGCCGTGCCCAGGCCCCCCCTCCAGCTGTGCTCTTTTCTGCGCTGGGGTCCCTCCTCTAACTGCCTCCCTCTGGCCCTGCCTCCGGCCTCGCTGGGGCTCTCTGTACATGGGGCCACCAGCTGTCTAGAAGGTCCCTGGAAATTGCATTAGTGAATGTCCTCAGGCTCTACAAGGGGAAACGTGCCAGAGGGGCTCTGGGACTTGCCACGGTGACCCTGTGAACAGGTGGGTGGGCGGTGGAGGCACACACCGGCCCACCGATGGCAAGGCAGGATTCCGGGTGGAGGGCGAGGACGGGCGGGGAGGAGGGAACCCCGCACTAGGGCTTGCCTGGCTGCTTGCGGAGAGAGGACTGCCTGGCAGTTCCCATCCAGCTATGGTGACAGGTCCAAATGCAGAATGTCCAAGGACAGATCTGGAGAGAAATTGGCAGCTCAGGGCTGAGCCCCTCAGGGAGGCACATGGGACCAATGAAGTTTCTAGAACTCCCTACCTGTCACACATCTGTACCTTTTCATAGGCTGTTCCATTTGCCTGGAATGCCTGGCGAACTCCTAGCCATCCTTCCATACCCAGCATGAGCCCCTCCTTCTGATCCTTTTCATTCTACCCTCTGGAGCGTGAGGACCCTCCCGCATGTGGATGCCCTCAGGCCCCGTGTGCCCAAGCCCGCGCCTAGTGTTACACCATCTGCCTCCCTCCCCTGTCCCTGAGCTCTTGGTGGGCAGAGCCCGGTCCCTGTGGCCAGCATGCGGCCGGGCAGCTGAGCCCAGCACCAGGGAGAGGAGGAGGCACCAAGCCCCAGCCCAGGGGATCCTGGGAGAGGAAACCGCCGACCACAGCCACAAGCATTTTCAAGTCCCAGGGTTTGAGCCATTGGGATTTGGTTTGAGCCAGCTTTGAGCCATGGGAGTTTGGGGGGCAAAGCAAGGTTCCCCAAGCTCAGCCCACAGGGAGAAGTGCTCTCACTGCCACGCACAGCACCCCAGGGTCCCGCCCAGGACTCTGCTGCTGAACTTCCTGGGACGGAGCTCCATGCCCTCTCCCCTTCTCTGTGTGGCCAAAGAAGTCACTGTCCCCCACCCAGCCCTGAGCAGGTGCCCAACAGTTTTGAGTGCTCTGGGAACAGGGCACCTCAGAGGCCTGGCTGTGGCTGGCTTGGGGACCGGGGCAGGACAGCACTGTGGGATGTCAGGTGTGGAGGCCATCTCGGGAGCCTCGGGCTCGGAGGGGGCAATGTGGGAGCCAGTGGGGCAACGTGCAGGACGCGCTGAGTGACAGAGCGGTGCACCAGGGTGACACCAGCGAAGGCTCCAAACGTGGGCACCAGCTCAGATGCTGGGGGCATCACGTGGGGCTAAGGGGCCCTCCTTGGCCGCGACGAGCAGGGCTGAGGGCCGGACACGAGGGCCACCCGCGTTCCCGAGACCCAAGGCAGGGGAGAAGAAACCACCCAAATGCAGACTCTTTCCACTGGTCTTTTATTGGCGGTGCAGAGTACAGCACTGCTGAGACAAGGCATGCATCACAGACGACGGGCACGCAGGCAACACAGCCGGGGCAGGGGCCTCATCTCATCCGAGGCAGAGAAAGACGGTGTCGGGACGGACTCGGGGGGGTGGGGGAGGAGCACCAGTCATACTGGGACAACATACCAGCCCCACTGGGGACCGCAGACCACGGAAGAGCTCACAATGACGGTGTGTTGGCCACACTGTGAAAAACACATTTTTAAAGCACTTTGTGTCCTCTACTTCGTTTCAGTTCCCCTTTGCAGACTGATCTTCGGGGGTTCCTTGTCGCTGGCTTGCTGGGGTGGCTCCCAGCTTGTGGAGCTCGGGCTCCACGTTCCCATCCCTTGCCAGGGGCGGGCCCCACGCACCCTCACCTGACAAACACAGGAGTTTCACGTCGAGGACGCCCAGGCGGCCGGCCGGCCGCTGGAGGCTTAGTGCCGTGGGGAAGACCCTTTCCCTCTACGTAGGGAGACGGCTCCGCTTTACACAGGGACGCGCGTCTCGGGTGAAGCACGATGGCGTGTGTGAAATGTTCTACGAGAAGCTGCACTGAGTGGGGCTGGGTGCACGAGACACTGTGGGGAGAGGGCCTCCTCGGAGGTGCTACTGGACGGGGGCGAGGAGGCCCTGGGGGCCCGAGTCCTCTCTGTGGACAGGGTGCCAGGGACACGGGAGTCTGGGCAGAAGTGAGGTCGCCCCTCCTGGGCGTCACGGGAGTGGAGTGCAGGGCCACGGCCCGCACGCAGGTGCTCAGTTGAGCAGGGTTCCATAGAGCTGGGCTTTGGTCAGGCTGTCCTTGCGGCTCAGCCCCGGGCCCCCGTTGCGGGGGAAGGCCTGCTGGGGGCTGAGGCAGGCGGCAGGGTGCATCTCTGGGGAGGCGTCAGCGGAGCTGCGCTCCAGGGAGTCCCTGGAGCCATGGTCGGGCTCAGGGCTGCTGCCCTCCCCACACAGCTGCACCCCGAGCCTGTCGCCGTCCCCCTCGCTGGGCGCATAGCTGGGCAGGGGGTCGTCAGAGCGGCTGGGGCTGAGGCTCAGCTCGCCGCAGGCGCGCAGGAAGCAGGGATCTGCCAGGTGGCCCTGGGAGAGGTCGTCACCCTCAGAGAAGCTGTCAGCCTTGTAGCTGGCATACAGGGGGCTGGCACTGCTCTCGACCTTACCTGGGCTGACCCCACCCCCACCGTAGTAGTGCTCGAAGCTGCCGGGCACCATGCGGCTGGCGTTCCTGGCAGGGTAGGAGTAGGCGCCAATGTCCTCCACGCTGGGGGCACGCCACTGGCCGCGCAGGTCGTCTCCAGGGAAGCGGGTGGTCACGGCCTTGGCGCGCAGGCTCCACAGATTCGGAGGCGCCAGCGGGGGGTGGTTGTCCACGGGGGCCGGGAAGCGGAAGGTGTCGCCTGCGTAGGGGGCATAGGTCCTCCCAAAGTGAGCCGGCATCCCGGCCTGCAAGGGGGGCATGGGGACCATGGGGGGCACGGGGTGCGCGGGGGGCGCGGGGGGCACCACGGGCGCGGGGGGCTGGCCAAAGCGGGTGCTGCACTCGTAGACGATGGTGGGCGGCTTTCGGCGGAAGAGCTCGTCGCGGTTGTTCAGGTAGACGGCCTGCTGGGACGCCGTGAGCATGCTGGTCTGGGCGTGCTCCTTCTCCTCGGACGCGGCGCTGAAGCTGGAGTAGGAGCTGGAAGTGGGCAGCGAGGCGGCGTAGCCGCAGGAGGCTGCGTAGCCGGAGGCGAAGGCCTCGTGGCGGTAGCTCTCGGGGTAGGCCGCCGCCTCGCGCTCGGGCTCCTCCTCGTCGGCTGCGCTGTCGGTGGAATTCTGGGCGGGGAGGTAGCCGGCCTCGGACACAGACGCGTCCACGCTGGGCCGCCTGTCCTCCCGGCGCTCCTCGGGGCAGTAGAGGGCCGCGTCGCTGCAGTACAGGTCCTCCTTGTACAGGGGCCGCGGAGCAGGCTTCCCGGCCTCGGCAGGGCAGGGCAGGCCGCCGGCGGGGGCGTCCGACAGGCCGCAGGGGTCGGGCTTCTCCAGCACCTTGGCCACGATGCAGGCGGGCACGGTGTCGGCGTAGCAGAGCTGGGAGGGCAGGCCGCAGCTGTGCTGCTCCAGGTGCCGGTTCACACGCTCCTGGAAGTCCAAGGGCAGCTGCAACAAGCAGGAGGGCGAGGGCGAGGGCAGGGTGGGGACAGGGGTCGCCGTCAGCACAAGGCCCAGCCCTGGCCCTGACGCTGAGGACCATTGCTGGGACCGGCAGGCAGATAGACAGAGGAACAGGGACCTCCCAGCCTTCTCCCACGACACCAGAGCGAGCCGGGGCCCAGGATGCTGCATCCCAGGGATGTGGTGCCGTCAGCACCTGGGGATCCCTGGCCACCTGGCCTACCCCACCCCGCTCCGACTGGGCCCAGCAGAGCCCAGAGGCTGCAGTTGGATTGGAGAAGCTACAACCCAGGTCTGATTCAGGCCCCACTTGGGGTATAGCCCCCCATTTCCTGCCCAGCGAGGGGCTGACTTGCTCTCCCAGGCCCATGGTTGTGTTGGGGGCGCCCCCAGCCTTGCTGCCCAGGTGCTCCTAGGTAAGACAGACTCAGAAACAGACGCAACAAAGATTGAGGGGCCAGGCAGGCCAGGTGCCCGCGGTATCCAAAAGAGCACCTGGGGCCAAGTGGGGTGTCCAGCTACTGTCTGATCTATTTGTGAGTGTCTCAAGTGCGGCCCAGGCCCCAGGGAACAGAACACAGACAGAGGCCTGGGGTAGGAGATAGCATGTGAAAGGAGGGGCCAGGGTGGGGGTCCCTGGGCCAGCTCTACAGGCTGCCACATTTGGGCAGGGTGGGCTGCTGCCCAGTCTGGCTCTGCCACCTGCTCACCCTGTGGCCTTGGCCAAGTCACTTTTCCTGAAGCCCAAAGCGCTGAGTCCCTGTGAGGCTCGCACAGGGCCACTGTGCTATGCCCCAGCCCTCAGGGGATGGGTGCTGGGAGCAGGGGCCAGGGGCAGCCCCCAGAGGACACTGAGGGGAAGGGGAGCCTGGGGAGCCCAAGGGGGCTCTGGGAGGGTCGGGCTGCGAGGCTGGCGAGGCGGGGTGGAGGTGGGGGCAGCCCCTCCACCATCAGAAAAGCCAGGACACCACAGGCGTGGGAAGGGACAGGGCTCGGTCTCACCCAGCCCAGCCCACTCGAGGGTGGGGAGTGGCCTCGGGGTGGGACTGGCGATAAAGGAGCCCAGAGGGGTCCTGGACAGGGATGCCCTGGCTGCGGGGCGGGGTCACGTTACCTCGGACACCTTAAAGACCTTGCCGTAGTTCTGGCTGCACTGCAGCAGCTGGGCCGCCAGGTTGCAGTCCTTCCTATAGCGCTCCTGCAAGACAAGAGAAGGGGTTTGGTGGGGCTCGCCCTGGCCAAGGTCCCTGCCACCCTGACCGGCACCACGTGGGTGGTGGTGATGGGGGGCGGGCAGGGTCAGCTGTGCGGTTGGCAGAACAAGGACCAACTCCGGGCCCCGTCCCTCTCTGGGCCTCACGCTCTGGCCCGCACAGCGAGGGCCTCCTTCTGACCTGGAGCCGCTGGAGCACGGGGGCCTGCCAGGCGGTCCTGCGCCGCCGCGGCCAGTGCCCCGGGCCCCTGCCAGGAAGGGATGCTCCCGCCAGGTGGAGCGCCAGCAGCAGAAGGGCCTCCAGTGCCCTGGGTTCCCGAAAGCCCCCAGGCTCACAGACCAGGCCTTGGGACCCTGTCTGTCCCTTGGGATCCTGGGTCCCTCCAAAGAGGACTGGGTGGGAGTGCCAGGCACCAAGGGGAGATGAGGGATGAGCCCCCAGCCCCTGCCACCCCCATCTCAGACTGGCTGCTCACAGCCCACTCTCAGCGTGTGGCCTGGCAACGGGGTGGCTGCAGGGCTGGGCAGGGATCGGGGCAGGTGTGTGACCCCAGGTCCAGGAGGGGACCAGCTCAGCCTCCTGAGCTGAAAACAGATGCAAACAGTAGAATTCGAGGGGATGGTTCTGCCTTTGCAAATCTCTGTTGCATGTGCCTGTGGCTAGTCCTTGCACTTTTGCCCCTCTGGGGGTCCCCGTGGCGAGGGCTCTGACAACCAGCCCTGGAGTCTGCCCAGCAGGCCCGGTGACCCACCTGTGTTGCCCCATGGGTGCTCCTGGCCGAAGGCAGCTGCCACAGTCCCAGCTCAGCCAGGGCCAGGTGTCCTGCAGCTCAGGCAAGGCTGTACCTGTCATGGGCACCCCTACCTGTCTCCCTTCTGCACTGAGCCTGGTGCCCTAACTTGACCTGCATGGCAGGAGGAACCCGGGCCTCCAAGCCCCTCTCAACGCTGGCCTCCTGGGCCTCCTGGGAAGAGCACAGCCACTGAGCACTGAGAGCTGGCACCTTGTGAGCCCACCACACTGACCCCTGCACTGTAAGACGTCCTTGCTGGTGCCTGTTGGTTACCCCAACCTCTGAGGGGTGCCTCCGTTCCCCACCCCCGCCGCACACTTCCTCAGCGATCTCAATCCCTCTGTTCTGGTCCTTGCTTTGTGTCTCCCTGAAGCATCTGGCACTTCTAACATGCGACGTGGTTTTCGAGTCTATCTTGTTAACTGCCTGTCTTCCCCGCTCAGACGCGAAGTCCACGTGGGCAGGGATTGTGGTTTGTTTCCTCTTTCCCTGTGTTGTTCACACTGTAATCTTGGGGCCTGGTGGGGTCTGGTAGGGAGCAGAGGCACATGAGTGGATGCATGGTCAGCTGCCGGGGCCTGTGGAGGATGTCACAGCTGCAGTGTGACACTGGCCGAAAGGAGGAGTCCTGAGTGGCTCTGACCCCATCCCCTGGGTCAGGAGGCCTTGCCTTGGCCACCCTGTCCATCCACCTGTCCCCTGGGCCAGCCCCTTGAGGCTGGAGCCAAAGTACCTCCACTCAGGGCCCTTCAGGGTCAGATGGCCGTGACTCCCCGTGCTGCCTGGGAAGCACCCCCAGAACTCCTGCTGCCCCCCCCTCCCCGTGGGCCCCATGCACACAGCACTCACGTTTTCCTCCGACAGCTTCTGGATGGTAATCTTCGCCTCCAGAAGGTGGTCCTTGAGGGTCATAATCTCATGGTTCAGTGCACGCTTCTCTTCCTCATGACGCTTCCTCTGGGGACGGGGACGGTGGGTGCGGGTGTCAGTTGGCAACTCCTGGCAGCCTGCCCGAGGCTGGCACCCAGCCCCGTTGCTTGGTTGGGCCGCCTGTGTTGCTCTCCAGCCACTAGTGCCTCAGTGCTTGGAGGGCCACAGGTGCAGGGGCTCAGAGCACAGACTACCCGCGTTCAAGTCCTGGCTCCACTAGTGGCAAGCTGATGCCTCCCTGGGCCTCAGATTTTCACCTCTAGCTCATGGGTTGGCTGGGAACTGAGGGAGGATGGCTGGCACTCGGCACGGAGCCCAGCCATCACACTGCACAAACTGGGAAACTGAGGCTCAGAAAGAAAAGGGCCCTTGTCCAGGATCCCAGGCAGAGCCAGGCCCAGCCCCCAGGCCTGCTGGGCTTGCCTCTCTGACAGCACCTCGAACAGGACAGGTGTGGAACACCTATTTCCGATTTTCAAAACCAAACAAGCTGGTCACCAAACCAGAAAAAAAGGGAACCTCCTTCTCCTAATGCAGGGGCCACCAGCCCCGTCACAGAGGAAGAAAGGCAACACCACTGAGGTTGTTTGCAGGTGGTGTGACTGTCTCCACAGAGGGTGGTCACCGCACCGGGGTGAGGCGCTGTCACATTTACTCCTCGCAGTGAGACACAGGGGTTCCCACAAGAGGCAGAGCTGGGGCTCCCCCAGGGCCTGAACTGCCTCTGATCTTCCAGGCTGGGTCCCTGGGCTGGCAGGCTGAGCTGGGGTCCCTGTCCCCAGGGCATGTCCTCTGTCCCGCAGCCCCACTCACACGCCCTTGGGTTGGGGTGTCCTACCCGCTGCTCAGCACAGGCCGCACTGGACCTAACCCCTGCCCTAACTGAGGGCACCCTCCCATTCCGAGGAGAAAGGTGGGACGGCCCAGCTCTGCGGTGTCAGCAAGCAAAACCCGAGACCCAGCTGCTGAGCGGCCAGGCTGTCGGCTAGGTGGTCTCGAGAGCCGCGGCGCAGGAGGGGGCTTGGGGGCCTGGGGCTCACCATGAGGTACACCTTTTCCTCCAGCTCCTGGTTGACTCTCTGCAGCGACGTGTAGCTGCCCTGGATCCTGCAGCGGGAGGCAGGGGGGTCGCTGCTGTGCCGGCCTGGCCCTCCCATGACCCTCACGGCCCCTGAGCTCACCCCAGCAGCCCCACCCGGTCGAATGAGTGCTCGTCTGCGCCTGATTAAAGCTAACTGTGTAGACGCTTTCCAGGGTCAGGGGCAGGGGCTGTCAGGAGCAGTTCTGTCCCTATCCCAGGACCCCCCCAGAGACAAGAAGGGAACACAAGAGACTGCATCCTGTTGGGTCCACACTCAGAGTCAGGTTACCCACACTGGACGCACAGTTCTTAGGAGCCTGGCTATGGGGCTGAGGGCTCAAATGCGAAGCAGCAGGGAAGAGACTTGGCCCTGGCTGTCGTGGGCCCTGGGAGTAAGACACAGCTTTGCCTGGACGGAGGGGTAGGGGGATCGGGTCCTTGGTGCTTCCACTGCTGCTGGTAGGGGCTTGGGGGCCACGTCCATCCTCCAGACCAGCAGTCCCCAACTTTCTGGCATCAGGGACTGGTTTCATGGAAGGCAATTTTGGGGTGGTCTGTGGCTCTGGGGGTGGGGGACCGTAGCTCTAGACACCGTGTGTGTGGAGTCGCTGCCCGTCTTGCCAGTGGGGAAACTGGAGGGGAGAGGTGCTCAGAGCAGTCCAAGTGGCAGAGCCGGGAGGTCTAACTGCCCTGCCCCAGCTTGGGGTCCACACCACAAGCCCAGCAGGAACGGCACCAGCCGATACCTAAACTTATTAAAACAAACCAAGCCAACGGCGAAGTTTGCATTCTCTGTTTAAGAAGACAAGAAAGTGTGTGAAACGTTTTAGAAAAAAATCCATCTCTCCTATCTACAGGAAAAAAAAATGCTTTTAGAAAAGTTTGATGTTTGAGGGAGTCCAGTACACCTCGCTCAACGCTTGGTCAGCTCCCACGCTGCTCAAGAGACCGTCCCTAAACTCCGGTTCACCTCCAGCGTTAGACCTCGCTTTCCCCATCGGGACCCAGGGTGGACCAGGCTGGAGACCAGGTTGTGCCTCATGCCGTCGCCTCCCCAAATGCGAGAGAATGGAGGATGGGGCCACGGAGCCAGGCCCGCAGACGTGCTGCGGGAAGAGCCTGTCCCGAGCAGCGGCCGACCCTGGCCTCCAGTCCCTCCCGGGCTGCTCCGCGCAAAGTGCGACTCTGGGGAGAACGCCTCCGCACCCCGAGCTGCGCAGGTCGACGCCGGGCGGGCGCAGAGCTGGGCGGGCCGCTCCCCGGGACGCCCCTCCCCTCCCCGGACGCCCCTCCCCGCCCCCCGGGACGCCCCTCCCCGGACGCCCCGCCCCTCACCCGAGCAGCTTCTCGGTGACCTTCTCCAGCTCCTCCTGCGCGCGCCGCAGCTCGACCTCCAGGTAGTGGCGGGTGGAGTCGAAGTCATTCTCGAGCTTCTCCAGCTTGTGCGTGGTGTAGGTCAGCCGCTTGCGCAGGTCGACCTTCTGCTCCTGCGTCGTGCTGCAACGACACGCGGCGGCCGGCCGGGCCGCGGCGCTGAGCGGGGGAAACTGAGGCCCGCGCGGGCCAGCGGGGGCGCGCCCGAGGCCGCGCTAGTGCCCGCGCGCGCACACGGCCTCCCCGCGGCGTCGCTGGGGAGACTGAGGCACTGAGCCAGCCTGGCTGGCCCGGGCGGCTCCTCAGACCCCACCAGCGCCCCATCGTGACTAACCCCCCCGCGGTCACCTTGGAGGGGTCGTGACCCCAGAACCAGGCGAGAGTGGCGGGCGGGGTGGGGTCCCGGTGTGGCGTGCCCGTCGGCGCCCGCGGCCCCCGACGGCACAGCTGGCCGGGGCCCCACTCTCGCGGCCCCACAGCGCTGGGGTGAGGCGGGAGCCCGAGTCCGCAGGGCCATGCCCAAGACCCTCCGTCCCTCCCCTCAACCGGCTGTGCATCCGGCACGCTGTGCCACCGCTCGGGGCCAGGGCCAGGGCTGGCGGTGCCCCGTGCCCACGCGGGGCCCACCGAGGTGGCCGGCCAGGCTGCGTGCAGCGCCGGAGACTCGGCAAAGCCTGGCCTGCTCAACCTCCCCTTCCTCCAGGAAGCCTTCCGGAAAGCCCAGACAGGGCTTTTGAGGCTGTATGTTCCCCGCAGAAGGGGGCTCCTAGGGGCGAGTACCCAGGACACAGCCACCGCCCTGCCCTTGCAGGCTCCGGAAGCAAAGACAAGGCATGACGCGCCTCCTGAGCCACCTGCCTACAACTCGCTTGGACCAAAGCTGGGCAGCAGGGGCGCGGGGTGGGTGGCCTTGGCCAGGGGACTCAGGAGGCGCCGGCTCCGCCTCCTGTGCTGTGGCCGCAGTGGGGGCTGCGCAGCGCTGGCCCGTGGGAGGCGCTGGCCCGGGGGAGGCGCTGGCCCGGGGGAGGCGCTGGCCCGGGGGAGGCGCTGGCCCGGGGGAGGCGCTGGCCCGGGGGAGGCGCTGGCCCGGGGGAGGCGCGCACAGCCCCAGGGACCGCCTGGGCCGACACTGCGCGACGGTGGCTCCTGGTGGGCTTGCTGTGCACGGGAGACGTGGGGCGGGGGCTGGAGGGAGCCTGCGTGTCGTGCTGGGTGCGGGAGGGCCTGCAACCTTGGCTCTGCCCGCATGCGCTGTGTTCTCGGGCGCCCCGGTCAAGCCCCGCAGAGGGGCGAGGAGGGCAGGCGGGAGGCTTGCTCCGGGCACCCCGCCCGCCACAGTGCCCGGCCTCCCCTGGATAGAGGTGCCTTCAGGCTCGGGCCGTGAGTAAACCACGCGAGTTGCCATGGGCATGCACCCAGCAAACCTCGATTAAGCATTCCTGGATTCCTGCCCGGGTCTACATTTTTAAAAATAAATAAAAATAAAGAGTTGCTTACGTTTTTTGAGAACCTCAGAGAAGGGCGGGGCGGGTCTTCCCAAGAGTCAGTCCCCAAAAGAGGATGTCGAGTAACAAGCAAAAGGGGGAAGCCCTGAGGCAAAGTGCCCTTGGCTGCCCACGCAGGTCTGCCTGCCTGAGCGCCCCGCAGGCTCGCCACCTGCCTCCTCCAGGCAGCCTTCCGAGACTGCCGACCTCGAGCACCCTGCAGCCCCGGCCCCAGGTCTTTCTCAGAGCAGGCCTCCCCTCCCCAGTGGGTGGCGAGTTTCCTGGGGTCCCCCACGCCATCCAGTGCCCCCACTGCTGGGGCGGGCAGTAGCCCCTGAAGTTGGCTGTTCCCTGCAGGGCCTCCAGGTCTACCCACAGCCCCCAGTCACAGGACACAGGTGGGGTCTGCACCCTGGGGCAGAGGTGAAGGCACCCTCACAGCCTGGGCCCTTGCTTTTCTGAGACCTGCACCCATTGCACCCCTTCACCCACTGCGCCCCTTCACCCAGTCCTACTATCACCCCGGGACCCCTGGGGAACCCCGCAACCCGACTGGAAGCCCTTAGAGCCAGCGGCCTCCTCTCCCCTCCCGGCTGGGACCCACTGTCACCTGGACGGGACCCAGCCTGCGTCAGGCCCATTGCCACGCCCTCCCTTCCTCCCCTTCCTGCTGCGCCCCTGCCCGTTCTGTCTGGAGACCTCGCGGCTGTAAGACAAGCACAGCCTGCCCCGCGACCAGGAGCAGAGTCGTCGGCCTGCCCTGTCACCGCGGGTGCCCGAGCTCTCCGCCCTGTCCTGCCCCGTCAGGTCTCCCCGTTTCTGCCGCCCAGCGGTCCCACTGCAGCCCGTGGCCTTGCCCCTTGAGGCCGGGCCTCCGGGCCCTGGCCTGCACCTGCCTCCTCCACCTGCCCGGCCCGCCGGCTCCCGCTGGGGCCCTCGCGCGCCAGCTCCCACGTCCAGCTGCCCACCTGCCCCAGCCGACCAGCGCGGACCGCAGCAGCCGTCGCCGCACCGGGGTGGCGCGTGCGCCGCGGGCCCCTTCCAGCCGGCCGCCAGGTCCCGCAGGCCCAGCTCGGCGGCTCTGCCTCGGCCTGGCGCCAGCGCGCGTGCATGCCCGCCTCCTCGGGCCGCAGGGGCGTCCGCAGCGCAGCGCTGGGAGGGCCCGAGCGCACCTGCCCGGAGGCGCCTGCCGCCCGCGCGGGTCAAGGTGTGGGCCGGACCCACTGCGTGTGTGTGGTGCGTGTGTGTGGTGCGTGTGTGTGTTTGTGGTGGGTGTGTGTGTGGTGCGTGTATGTGTGTGTGGTGCGTGTGTGTGGTGCGTGTGTGGGTGTGCGCTGTATGTGTGGTGTGCGGTGTGGTGTGTGTATGTGTGTGGTCGCGTGTGTGGTCCTGTGGTGTGGCTGCCGTGTGTGTGTGGTGTGTGTGCTGCGTGTGTGTGTGGTGCGTGTCTGTGTGTGTGTGGTGCGTGTGTGGTGCGTGTGGTGTGTGTGTGTGGTGCGTGTGTGTGTGGTTTGTGGTGTGTGTGTGATGTGTGTGTGGTGTATGTGTGTGTGTGGTGTATATGTGTGGTATATGTGTGTGTTTCCAGTGTGTGTGTGTGGTGTGTGTGTGCGGTGTGTATGTGTGTGTGTGGTGTGTGGTGTATATATGTGGTGTGTGTGTGGTATATATGTGTGGTTTGTGGTGTGTATGTGTGGTGTATGTGTGTGTTTCCAGTGTGTGTGTGGTGTGTGTGTGTGTGGTGTATATATGTGGTGTGTGTGTGATATATATGTGTGGTTTGTGGTGTGTATGTTTGGTGTATGTGTGTATTTCCAGTGTGTGTGTGTGTGTGGTGTATGTGTGTGTGTGATGTGCGGGGTGTGTGTGTGTGGTTTATGTGTGTGTTGTATGTGTGTGTGTGGTGTGTGTGAATGTGTGTGTGGTGTGTGTGTGTGATGTGAGTGGTGTGTGGTATGTGTGCGTATGTGTATGTGGTGTATGTGAGTGGTGTGTGGTGTGTATGTGTGTGGTGTGTGTGGTGTGTATGTGTGTGTGATGTGTGTGCGAGTGGTGTGTGGTATGTGTGTGTATGTGGTGTATGTGAGTGGTGTGTGGAGTGTGTGTGGTGTGTGGTGTGTATGTGTGTGTGATGTATGTGTGTGGTGTGTCTGTGTGTGTGTGATGTATGTGTGGTGTGCGTATGTGGTATGTGTGGTGTATATGTGGTGTGTGTGTTTCCGGTGTGTGTGTGGTGTGTGTGGTGTGTGTGGTATGTGGTGAGTGTGTGGTGAGTGCATGCTGTATGTGTGTGATGTATGTGTGTGTGTGTATGTGTGTATGTGTGTGGTGTATGTATGTGTGATGTGTGCGTCAGTGGAGTGTGGTATGTGTGCATGATGTGTGTGTGTGGTATATGTGAGTGGTGTGTGGTGTGTATGTGTGTGGTGTATGTGTGTGTATGTGTGTGATGTGTGTGATGAGTGTGTGATGTGTGTGGTGTGCATGTGATATGTGTGGTGTGTATGTGTGCGATGTGTGTGGTGTATGTGTGGTGTGTATGTGTATGGCATGTGTGTGATGTGTGTGGTGTGTATGTGTGTGGTGCATGTGGTATGTGTGTGGTGTATGTATGTGTGTGTGGTGTGTATGTGTATGGTGTATGTGTGGTGTATGTGTGTGTGGTGAGTGTGTATGTGTGTGATGTGTATGTGTGTGGTGTATGTGTGTGATGTATGTGTGTGGGGGGAGTGTGTGGTGTATGTGTGATGTTTGTGTGATGTGTATGTGTGTGGTGTATATGTGTGTGATATGTGTGTGTGTATGTGTGTGGTGTGTGAGGTGTATATGTGTGTGTGTGTGATGTGTGTGAGTGGTGTGTGGTATGTGTGTGTGATGTGTGTGATGTGTGTGGTGTGTGTGTGGTGTATATGAGTGGTATGTGGTGTGTGGTGTATGTGTGTGGTGTGTGTGATGTGTGTGGTGTATATGTGTGTGATATATGTGTGTGTGTATGTGTGTGGTGTGTGAGGTGTATATGTGTGAGTGGCATGTGGTATGTGTGTGTGATGTGTGTATGTGTGTGGTGTATGTGAGTGGTGTGTAGTATGTGTATGGTGTATGTGTGTGGTGTGTGTGGTGTGTGTGTGGTGTGTGTGTGATGTGTGTGGTGTATGTGTGCATGTGTGTGGTAAGTGTGTGTGATTATGGTGTGTGTGTGATGTGT